AGAAGTCTTAAAGCAAACGTTAGGTCATAAGCAACTCAGACTGAAATGGGTCGGCTTTGAAGTAAACAAAGAATAGCTCGAGTCTACTGATCTGTGGCCTCCTCACACAGTCTTCTCTGGGTTTTGAGTGAATTTTTGTTTTTTAATTCCAAGTAGCTCAGAGTGAGAAATAACTCCAGATATGTGAAGAGGCTAACTGTGGAACTCAGACCCCTGCCCAGCACAAAAGAAAATGGCACATGCAACCCCATCCCTGGCATTTTATAGAACGAAATAGGTAAATAAGGGAAGGTGCAGGTGTTTGGGGACAATAATTTTGAGGACGACAAGCACATAGGAACAAAAAACAAAAATCCTGAAACAAACCCTCTGGGGAATTAAGAGAGGAAAGTAGTGGTCTGGGAGGCCAAGTAGAGCCATAGCTCCAAATACAGTGCATGCTTTTTTTACCAGTGACAATCCAGTAAAGGGCTCCAGAATGAGGAGCTGTCTGGGGTCTTATCACAACACCATACTATATGTTCATGCTATTTGCCCTAAATCTAAATGTTACCTGTAAATTGGGAAATTCTAAGACATTGTTTTTAATGTTAAAAAACATACCTTCAGAATAATGTTCCTGCATACATCCCCCCTCCTCCGTCTTTCTCCAAGTGTCCTAATCACCCAGATACATGCAAAAATAAGAGAGCAATATGTCACATACCGTAGCAACTTTAGTCTGAAATGTTTAAAGTTAAAGTTTATTTGTATTCTTTGTAGGGTTATCAATAAAAGACCTCAAACGTATCTATATCTGTACATGTACAAGAACCATCAAAAATTATTCACAGAACAAAAATAAATCTTCTTTAGAACAAACCCAGGTAATGAAATGCAGATATGGATCTCACATGTGGAACACACTAAGTGCTACCAGCACAAAAATATGGCTTCAAAAATAAAATAAAACCTTGGGTTCTGTTTTTCTAAGGTGTATTTCTCTTTCTTGAAATAAAAAATAAATTATTTAGAGCTATCATTGTAAAATAGTCATGTGTATTAACACACTTTTATTAAGGCCCTGGAGATGAAAAACAAAAGCAAATTTAGAAGATAAGTTCCTCACAGGTGTGATTCAGGTTAATGTGCTGCTGTCTGCTTGAGTTAATTTTAACATGACTAGGAAATGTCTAAGCACCAGTCAAAATTTAAGCTTTACTATTTATTTCAACTTCTCTACAGGACAATGGTCATTGAATCAATCAGCATTTAACCTTTTGGTGAACTGGGAATTGAAAAATTTCCCTTGGGAGTTAGAGATGACATAGATATGATATTTCTACACAAATCTATGTACCCCCACACAGATGATGGAGTCCCGTAAAACACAGCTTCTGTGTTAATCTGTCTATAGTAGATACATCTGGATCTAGGTCCCGAACTAAAAAACTTCCCAGGGAAAACAAGGGCATCTGAATGAAAAATAAGAACTGAGTAGGAAGTTAAAATGCATGATAAAATTTGAGCAAAATTTGCTTTCCTTGGGTGGCTTACTGCATTTGCCAAGTCCCACTGGGGGCCGGGTTAGTTATGCAAACACCTGAGGAGTAACTGATCAGGAACCAAAACTACCTTTTTCTGGATCCCACTGATCTTCACTGATCTGAATCCAGATCAGTGAGATTCAACTTTCCTTCTATGACGCCCCAAGATATCAATAACGATACCTAGGGTCCTTGAGACAATGTCAAACCAAATCAATTTCAAGTTACTTTAACTTATATATATATATATATATATATATATACACACACACACACACACACACACATATAACACATATGGTACATTTCAAAAAAAGAGAGAACCACTGTCATAAAACCTAACAAATGAGAACATAAAATCTAAACCACCCAAGAAAGTTTGGGAATCACTGCTCCATAAAATGGATTAACATTCAGAAGGTGGAAGCCCTAGGAATTGTGTTTTGTGTGGGTGTGCACGTGTTGTCTCCAGATACCATGTTTCCATACATCTATGTATTTTAAGAGCAGGCAAGGCTGTAAATCCTGTTTCTCTGAACCTTTGGGCTCCTGAGAAGGCTGCTGTGCACAGGCCCCTTTTGGATCAGGTTATCTTCCTCGGGCTCTTTCACTCCTCATAAGATATTTATTTGATCTCATGCAAATTTCATCACCTTTGTCTTTCCTAAGCCCAAGAGCTTTAAAACTGGGTCATGAGCACAAGAAGAGAATGCTTCTAGAACTAATAATTACTCAAACACAAAAAGAGATTCTATTTAAAAAACTCAACACCCCAATATATCTTACTTTTAAAAAACTAGTAAAACAGGTCCTTTCAATTGACATATCGATAAAAACAAAGTATCCCAAATTCTTGGCCCCCAGGTAGGGGTGGGAAGGCAGCTGTTTACTGCTGGGCCAAGCAGGAGATTTCACTGCTGGACTTGGAAGGAAAAGGGGAAGGGAGAGGGTGGCCTCCAAAGGGGTGGCTGAAATTCAGTGAAGCCGTGGTGTGGGCTCCAGAGCTGCTGAGTCAGGCCCAGTGATAAGTCCAGTCTGCTGGCAAGCCTGGAGCTCAGGGTCACATGGGACTTGGTAATCCTGAAGAGGGTTCCTTCCTTAAGTTCAGGCCCACAACCAGCCTTCTCAGGAACTCCCAGCTGGAGATAACTAGAGCTAAACCTAGATGGAAGAAAAACAGACACTAGTGCAAGCTCACTTGATGGCGATCGTCTCGCCTGGGACTTCCAAGAAAGAACTCCCAACCTGGTGTACCTCTGAGGACAGCCAAAGGTCGACAAAACTGCAGATTCATAAACAAAGGCCACAAGAAGGCTAGTAAGTGAGAAGCCTGACTTCTAAAGTCAAGCTCATTCTCAGCAGTTGTAGACAGAAAATCCTACTTTTCCTTGCTCTGACAGCATCACAGGGAAAGGTGGAAGGAGACCAGAGAAAGCTAATTCTGACCAACTGGATACCAAGTGGAAAAAGCCAAAAGCTACCGCAGCATGGTTACCTCATTTTGCCATCTTCCCTTACTGACAGGTTGCCCTAGACCCCAATGGCACTTGGCCATAGGGCCTGGCACACTAGAAATGCTCCAGTGTTTGTTACAGTTCCTAGTTATAACCCCCCCACCCCGGCAGGGTTTGTATTGCAGACACTCGGGAATGTGATGACTCTTTTCGCTGCGCTGGCCCAGTGGTATAAAACGGGAGTACGAAGCTCTTTTCCTGCACTGTCCTATCAGCACTGTCCTTGTCAATGGCCAAGTCTGGTTGACAGCTGGGTGAGCATTTAGCATGTTCCGACCTCCAAATTCCACGCAGCCCTGGTCTCTGCCGCGCCCCACAATGCGGTGCTGTGCTGGGTAGAAGCCCAAGACTCGGCCATCTGAGGCCATCTGCTGCTTCACCATGCCCCTCCTCCCAGCAGCACAGAGGCTGGTGCCTATCTGGGCTGAGGAAAGGCAACTAAGCTATGCCTCCATCAAAACTCAGCTGTTGCGGCTTCTTCCACACTAAGGGGAAAAAACCTTTTCTACAGATTGCAGCATTCTCTAAAGAAAAACTCAAAAATATTTGGATAGAAACAGGCTCAAAGGATAATCTAACATTTAACATCTGGCAACAACTCTGAACTTCTAGCTTGCCTCTAACTTTATTATTTTTTACTCTCTTCTCTTCATTCGAGGTATCCTGATAATAAGAGGGCTGCATAATCTGTCCAAACATTTGGGCATTTACTCTTCCAAAGTAGGCAACTGTAAGGAGCTCCCACATGCCAACAAGATAAATCGCACCCACCAAAAACACATTTGATGCTTATGTCTCCAACAGGCCCCCAGTACAGGTAAGTTTATCAACCCTCTGTAATCCATAACCAGCACCTGAGAGCTCCCAAACCTCAAGCAAGACATCACTCATGTTACATACTTTAGGCCCCTGAAACCGACAATTCTCTTACCAGGTTTTCTGCAGCACAGCTTTTTACAAAGAATGAATTAGAATTAAACGTGGCTAAAGCTGAGAAATAGTGGACCTATGCTTACATCACCCCCTCCCAACAAAGGGCACTATTAAAGAATTAGTTAATTTAAATAAGTGATTTTGACCACAGTGTGCCCTCACCTTGGAGAGGAGAGGTAAGAATTTGTAAAATAACTACCAAGGGTCAAAAAAATACATGGCTACCAAACACGTGGGTATGAGGTCTGCAGATCAGATAAGCACTATGAGAAACCCCTGTTTTAGATCTCTGACTGGCAGAAATGGGAGTGTTAAGAAGGGAAATGTTTTAAAAGGTCGTGGGTTGGTGGGGTGCAAGGTGCAACACAAAGGCCCACCCGAGAGAGGGCAGCCCTAAAGTGTCAGAGCGCAAGCTGGGGCCTGCAAGATGGGCGCTTGGTGCCGCTGTCTGGGCTTCACTCAGAACAGGACCTGACAGATAAATGTTCCCTTCCAATTTTGTTATGTAGAAACACTCACTCCATACATACGGCTCCCTCAGGTCTTTTTTTCTCCCTCTCCCATTTACCTTTTAAAAATTTCCTTACAGTTTATAATTTAAAATAAACATCATTAACTTATTTGAGAAGTATTCTTTCTCAATAGAAACCACCACTCAGATCTTGCTTAAAGAGATTCAAAACCCTTTTAACATTGTATTTCACAGCACAGAAGGCATGGATGTTTCCTATTTGTGTGGTTATATGTACACGTGTGAATAGATATGTATATATACTTGTATATATAATGGCTAACATGTAACATTCTATACTTCTGGTAATCAGGGTTGCATTCAAGATGACATTTCACATCTTTGGAAAAAAGGAAATCCTTCAGCTTGCATGACTGTTTCTGTCCTACACTACAGCCAATTATAAACTTACTGGTGAAACAGTCATTACTGACAAATCTACTAAGAGCAGGGGAGTACCAAGCAGAATGCACTGCCTTGCACTTTGGGTTTCTTTTCTTACAAGAGGAGACATCACTTTCCAGAGAGTGATGCCTCAGATATGGATTTCCTTTCCAAGTTTTACTTAGGCCACTACAGAAAAAAACAATTTAAAAGTTAAAGATTGAAATAAGATTACCCTGCCCAGAAATATGCTAGTACAATGAATAAAATGTTTATCCCAAATAAAAATTATAATTCACAAATAGAAAATATTTAAATAGGAAATATTCAGAAATTTCTGCTATGGTATGGTTAGCCCTTTTCTGTGTGGAAGAAAGGGTGTCTGTTTGGATGGTTCATGGACAGCATATTGGAAGAATCTCTCCAGGGGAGAGTAAACCCTGTTGGTGACCTGCTGCCATCATGGGGGCAGGAAGGGCAGTGGGTGTGGGAAGGTGAAGATGGTGTGTAGAGACACAGATGTTTAGTTTTGTAAACTCTGAAGAGAAAGAGAACACTCTTTATTACAACTGGGGTAAAAAAACAGCCCCTATCTAAAATGGAAAATTCCATCTGCTATAGACAGAAGGAGATAAACATCAACAGGAGTTCAATAGAAATCACTCCTCAAGTCCAGTTTTGATGCAAGAGCTCTTGTCTGTGTCCTCTGAAGCAGCGTATCCCCAAAGCGGAGTCGCTATACATTCAGAGACAGTCTTGGGTGATCAGTGGGATAAAATGTTTTGTTTGGATCTTAGTATTTGCATGTTTCCCTCATGGGCAAGGGGGCTGGAGTGGGTTTTTTTTAACTGGCAGACGAATCCCTGAAAAATTCATTCTGACAATGTCCTATTATACGCCGTGCGCTTCTACCAAACAGACAGACAGACAGACACTGGGTCTCTACCTACTGAACCGCTGGGCTCAGTTCTCACTCACACATAGCTCCTACCTTCCTCCTCTAACAACTGCAGTGCTTTCAACGGAGGACAACAATAATAAAAATAGCAATAATTAAAAAGGTAATCTACATTATTAACTTCCTTTGGGTATATTACAATGGTATTTTCTGTACATGGCCCAGAACTAAGTTCCCTATGTACACAGAGACACGGGGGAAAGCGTCGACCTCGGGTCTTAGCCTTATGCCCTGAAAGACAAGGTTCCTTCTTCATCTGAGAGTTTCTCGCCAAAGTAGTAACATTCTGTAAACCAGGCGGGGCTGGGTGAAGGGCTGGGGACAGGAGAGCGGGGACATTTCCTTCTGTCTCCTCCCACCGTCTGTCTGGTCACCAAGGCCATCAGCAGCTGCTGTTTTTGAATTCACCATTCTCCGTGATGGAAAGCTTGGTGGGGTTGGTGGGAGAGATGCCATTGCGGACCTGCATGCTGTACCGCTCCTTCACCTGGGTCAGCGCGCTCATCAGTCTGGTGTTGGCCGAATCCAGGGACACGATCCGTTTTTCCTACAACACACCAATCATGGCTTTATTCCAGCTCCACGCAGGAAATCACACCGTAGTGCTCTCTTTCAAACGACTGTTCTAACGCTTGCTATCACACAGCCGCACGCACGATGCTCCCCGGACAAATGGAACGTCTCTGCCTCTTTCTGCACACTGAGCCCACCGGGCTGTGCTTATTTTCTCTTTCTGTACTTTCAGCACAGCAGGATTTGTTATTAATAATCCCTCTGGACACTAGGTACCATGTAAAAATGACACCGTGTGTTACTTCAGACTATGCAACACAGGGGTCAAGCTGCCTGACTGTATTAAGTGCTTTTGGTCAAAATTAAAACATGGACATTAGGTGGCAAAGAAAGAAGCACCAGAGGTTTCATTTCACAGAGAAGTGCAAGGGATCTGTGGGTTCTCAGCCCCACCGAGGGCATGGCAGCCGCACTTGCAGAGAACTCACATTGTGCTCAAAATTAAAAACAATACATGGTGGCAGTTTATAGTCACCAACAAAGTGAGGATGCAACACGCAAGAAGGGAGAAAGCAGCCAAAAGCTCAGACCAGGGAGTTACTTGGATACAGGGAGGGAGGTGTGGCCGAGGGGGTGCTGTAAACATAACACATGAAAACAAACAGAGAACACAAGCTCCTGGACTCATTCCAGCTCAGAGTTACTCCTGGAAAGCTGCCCGATGTGGGGACTGCTTTCCTTTTAGTTTTGAGTCTCTGAAGAAGAAAAAAAGCTTTAGAACCAATATTTTGGAACCAAAGGGTGTTGAATACACACACATACAAAAAAAAGGGGGGGAGGGAGGGCCAAAAAAAAAAGGGCAATCTCAAGAAAAGTAGGCCATCTAAGTTAAAAGAAAAAAAAAAAA